TTGGTGCCTGTGGGTGGTCCCTGTCTGTGCGGGGGGGCTGCAGGAAAGCCATCCCCCATCACTGCTGGGTGACTTCGAGGATGCCTGCCTCTTCACGCCTGTCCCGGGGGGCTGCCATGGGTTTGGCAGGGGTGTGGGAGCAGTGAGGCTGGAGGTTTTTTATCTCCAAGATCTCCCTGGCTGGGTCCTGTGGTGGTGGCAGGGAGCAGTGGGTGCAGAGGGCACAGCTGTCCTCTGCACCAGGGCTGCTGGTGAAACTTGGGGGACTGGCGGGGGATCCCTGGCCAGAATGTGTGTGTGCGGGCAGCTGCAACAAGACAGGGACGGTCATTGGCAGCACTGGGAGCAACGGAACCAGTCCTGAGCTATGCGCATGGAGGTTGCCAGCATAGGAGCATCCCAGCGGGGAGCAGGGACCACTTTTCCCCTCATTTTCTTTGGAGTCACCGCTGCCCCAAGGTGGCCTGTCCCAAGGCAGGGTGTTTTCAGGGGGATGACAAGGGTCTGAATGGGAGGTGCCACCCTTGCAGCACTCCCAGGGCAGCTCCTGGGCACAGTGGAGCAGCAGGCATGCGGTACCCGGGCAGCAGAGTCAAATCACAGGGTCGGGTATGCGTGCGAGTGTCGGACCAGGAGACTTTGGCACAGCCACAGGGACAACGGAGCAAGGCCAGGCAGGGATGGTCGGGTGAGGAGGGCTCGGCCTGGCAGAGCTGTGGTGGTTTTTGTTGGGCTGCTGGGAGCTGGGTGGCTGTGGCACCCACAGGCTCCTGGGGCTGTGCTGTTTTATGTCAGCTCCTGATCTGGCCAGTTGGTGCAGCCAGATAGGATCTTCAGCATCTCTAGCATAGCCTGGCAGGGGGGACGTGCCTCCTGCTCCTGCCTTCCCCCCACAGGTCTTGCAGGGCAAGGGACACAGCTCGGGCTGGGGGGATGCTCGAGGCATGGAGAGAAGCAGGGAGACGGGGGGCTCAGGTCTTGCAAGAGCCTGCCTCACCTGCACGCTCAGAGGGTCTGCGCCTCAGGACCAGCCCCGAATTGGGGCCGCAGGCTGGCGTGCATGCCATATCTGTCCCGTCAAGCCTGCCCAGGGCTGGGCAGGGGGAGGAGGGGGCGGCCGGCTTCCCCTGGGACGCCAAGGGGTATTGCCGCAACCCCTACCCCGCTTCCATCCCGCATGCAGGCGTGCATGCTTTGGCCCCAGCAGCCTGCAAGGATGGGCAGAGGGAGGGCAGCAGGCAGAGCCAGGACCCGCTTCATCCTCCTCCCCGGCTGCTTGTGCTCCCTGCTTCGCTGCCTTATGCCACACAGCCTCCATTGCCCAGAGCAGCCCTGGCTCCCCCCACAGCCTCCCCAGTCCCCCAGAGCCACTCAGGAGGAGACCAGGGGAGCGGTACAGCTCCCTCCCCGGCACCCATCCATCCCTGCATCGAGTGCCCAGGGAGGAGGCGTGGGGGGCAGCACCCAGGGTCCCCCCTCGCTTCTCTCCGCTACTGCCACCCATCCGAGCCCACACTAACCATGTGATTGTTTTGTGTTTTTGCAGGCAGTTTCTTGATTCGGATATGCCTAGGTATTATTTGTTTCCATTGGTTTTTTTTCCACCTCCCCTTCCTCTCTCCCTTCTTTCTTTCTCCCCGCTCGCCTCGGCGCCCTCACTCCCACCAGAGGCAGCACTTGGACAGCCAGCCCCCCATCCCTCCACACGCCCAATCCCTCCTCCCTCCCGCCCTGGTACCTCTCGCTCACTCAGCCCCTTTTGCTGTTCGTTTGGCCCGCGCTCTCGCTGGCTGCCGCGCCCCCTCGCCCGCTTTTTCCCTCCCCCCCGCACCCCTGCGTCCCCATCGCCTGATCTGGGTTTTCTTCTTGCTTTTTGACTTCTCTGCTCTCCCATCTCTCTGGCATCCGGCGCCGAGTGTGCCGCTCCCCTGTCATCTCCCGCCCAGCCCCAGCTCGGCCCCTGGCGCCGCTTGGAGTAGCTGCAGGGCTGGTGCAGACCATGACGGGGCCTTCAGGGCACCTCCAGCCCTTGCCTGGGCACCTGGTGATGATGGGAGCACTGCTGAGTGGTGCGGCAGCATGCGCAGCGGCTGCTCACCCCGTGCACAGTAGTCCCGTGGGCATAGGTGCGGCATATGGGCAGTGTGCATCTGTATGCAGGCGCGATGGTGGATGTGCACACCCATATGTGGCACGGACTGTTATACCCTGTGTAATGGGCAGAGCGGCTGTTTGGGGACTGGGTAAGTTCAGCTGGGACCGTAGGGTGAGCCTGGCATGCAGCACGTGGGCAAGAGCTGCTGGACCCGGATGCTGTCGCCAGCCTCTGGACGGGAGCATCGCTGAGGCCTCAGAGGAGGGGGCATCCAGCCACCGTGCCCCACAGCGGAAGAAGAGGGGGATGCATCTGGGACACAGAGGATGAGGTCTCCCAAGTCCTGGTGGGCTCCGTAGCTTTGTGCCTGGGAGGATGTCCTCCCTAGAGCAGCTAGAAGCTGGTCCTACTTGGAGATGCTTGAGGGCAGAGCTGTCCCTCCAGCAGCACCCTGCCCCCCCCGGATGCAGGGGGATGGATCCAGCACGGATCCAGCCCCCCCACTGCAGGAGCACATGGGCTCGCACTGGCATTGCCCGTGGGCTTTCAGCACAGTGATGCTCTCCCTGTGGAGCAGGTGATGGGCCAAGAAATTATCTCCCACTGCATGGGTGGCGGTGGGACGGCTGGTCCCCGCCCCCGACAGGTGCCTTCCTGGGGCGCTGCACTGGGCAGGAGCTCCTTGCCCTAGGATGGCAGCAAGGGCAGAGTTAAGGGGATGGGGAGCACACATGTGCTCGTTTCTCAGCTGCCAGACCATGAGGAAGGTGGGAGGCAGAGGGTTTTCACCCAAGCGGGTAAACTTCTGTCTGCCCTCGCCGAGCTCCTTCTGGGCTCCGACTCGGGGTCCAGCTAGGCAGGAGCTCCTTCGGCCAGCAGTGCCGATATGGGGCGAATCCCCATGAGAGGGGCTCCCCTTCCTCGTGGCCCCACTCCTGTGCCAGCCCCGTACGGATGACGCTTTCTGACCTTTCATTTTTCTGTGTGTGTACATGTGTGTGTTTGTCCTTGGGTCGCCTTCCACTTATAGCATTTCGTTCGGAAATGACACTAGGTATTTTGCGTGCACCCGCTCGGTCTGGTCCCTCCTGCTTTTCTCTCTTTCTCCTTTGCCTCTTCCCTTTGCTTTTTGCTCTTTCCCCCCTCCCCTGAGGCTCCTCTTCTCCTCCTCCTCCTTGGGGAGCTACTCTTCTCAAGCGACCTGTGTCTGCAAAGCAATCCTTTGCCTTGGCTCTGTCTCACATGGGGGGGGGTTTATGTATTTTATACACTTTCTGAAAGCGTCGCTCTCCCTCTTCTTCCAACGTGGGGGCAATCACAGCTGAGAGCCTCTCCCCGCTCCCTCTGGCTGCTCTGCCTTTCATTAAGAGCCCCTCAGCCACCTGGATGCTGCTTCAGTGACGTGCCAAAGCGTCTTTGTTGAGACATTGCTGAGCCACAGCTTCCTGAGGATGCTCAGACAGGCGCCGGGGCTGCAGCAGCTCTGGGTGGCTTTGGGGAGTGGGTGTCCTATAACCCCAAGGCTGGTCCAGGAGGGAGCCCACGAGCGGGGCAGGAGGTGAAATGGGGATCCCCCATGCTCTCGAACTGGAGCCGCCTCCTGCTTCCCCCACCCTTGATTGCTTGACCCGAAGAGGGCGGTTGTCGCTTTTGCTCTGGGTGGCTGCACCGTCCTCTATGGGACCCCATAGGCACGGGGCGAGTGGGGCCAGGTGTCCCCTGCTCCTTCTCCCAGCCTGGGAGCCATGGAAAACACAGTGAGGGGAGTGACGCAGCCCAGTGGGAATGGGGATGGATGGGGCTGGCGATCAGGGCAGAGCAAGAGCTGGAGGAGACAGCCCGACAGGGGCCAGCCACCAAATCATGGTCCCCGGGTCCTGCTGGGGCTCAGGGCTGGCAGATGGGGACAGCCCTGAGGAAGGGGACCTGGCTGGCAGGGGTCTGCTCTCCCAGGGGCGGGCTGGCAGCAACCCCCCAGTGCTGAGCATCCTCCCTCCTTTCCCTTCTGGCCGTTGTCACCCGAATGGCGACAGCCGCTCCTGGTGGGGGCCGGGAGGTGCTGCGTGCCCCAAGCTGGATGGTGGGGACCTGGCCTGGGCGCGCTGGGGGTGGCAGCCCCCTACTCTGAGCACGGGGGTGGGGCATGCACCCTCCTTTGCCCTCCTTTGCCTTCCCAGCCTGCTCTGCCTTGCCTGCACCCCAGCTGAGCCCCCACTCCTCCCACGGTCCCTTCTCCCCAAAACCCTGGTCCGTCGGCCGTTTCAAGGGCGCCACATCTCCCTCCCACCACGCCTTGTCCCCCATTGCCTTGAGCCTGCGTCCTCTGGAGTGGCTGTCCCCATCTGTCCCTGCCACACATGCATGTCCGTGTGTCTTTGCAGGCCTGCTGCAGCGCTGCGGGGGGGGGATGATGGCATCTCCCTGCTGACTCTCCTGGGGTTCTGGGGGGGGTGTTTTACCGGCTCTGCTATTTTTTTTGGCAGGACTTTCTACCAGTTTGAGACGGCGTGGGATAGCTCCATGCACAACTCGCTGCTGCTCAACCGTGTCACCCCATACCGAGAGAAAATCTATATCACCCTTTCCGCCTACATCGAGGCAAGGACCTTAGTCAGGGACATCATAACACCAACAAAGTCTGGTATTTCCCCCACTGTTGGTGTGCAGCCAGCGTGAACCCCTCCTTAGCTGGCACGAATGCTAACGGAGTGCAGGATTCAACCTGGTGCTTGGGGTCCCTGTGGGACCCTGGGAGTGGAAACCGCTGGGCACCAGGGGTGGGAGAGGCCCACTGGGCTGCCAAGCTGCAGCCCCCTGACGCCTCCCCCCTGCCCTGCTGCAGATGGAGAACTGCACTCAGCCTGCTGTCATCACCAAAGACTTCTGCATGGTTTTCTACTCCCGGGACGCCAAGCTTCCTGCCTCCCGCTCCATCCGCAACCTTTTTGGCAGCGGCAGCCTGCGGGCTTCTGAGAGGTACCAGGATGCTCCTGCCTTTCTCAGGGAGGAGAGCCATCACCTTGGGACTGGAGCCCTCCTGGGGCATCCCAGCAGCCTGGGTGAAATAACCGGGGCATGGGGATGGGGCAGAGCTGGTAACGCCTTGTCTCCCTTTGCTTGCAGCAACCGTGTGACAGGAGTCTATGAGCTCAGCCTCTGCCGCGTGGCTGACGCCGGCAGCCCAGGTGGGTGCTGCACCTCTGCCCAGGTGTTCACTGCGAGGCCAGGATGCATGACATGGAGGTTGGGGTCGGGGCCATGCATCTGTCCCCCCCAGCTGTGTGTCTGTCCCCGCAGGCATGCAGAGACGGCGCCGGCGTGTGCTGGACACCTCCGTAGCTTACGTGCGGGGAGAGGAGAACCTGGCTGGCTGGCGGCCCCGCAGTGACAGCCTCATCCTCGACCATCAATGGGAGCTGGAGAAACTCAGCCTCCTGCAAGAAGTAAGAGTCTGGGCTAGAAATGGGCCGAGACGGTGCAATTTGCAGCTCAGCCCTCGCCCTGCTGGTGCCGGTGGGACTCCCCACCCCAGGTGTCTCAGCCCTCCCGGTTGCGGGAGAAGGCAGGAGTGGGGCTGTGCCACTGGTGCTCTCCTGTGCATCACTGCTAGCTGGGTCCCAGCAGACCCGAAGCTAATGAGCAGGTGGGGTTCATAGGGCCTGGGAAGCACGGTCCCCGAAAGGATGCTGGCAGGGGGAAGGGGCCACCCCTGAGCCTGGCTGCTTGTGCCCAGGTCGAGAAGACAAGGCACTACCTGCTCCTGCGCGAGAAGCTGGAGACGACCCAGCGCCTGGGCCTGGAGACCCTGTCTCCCTGCTCCAGTGAGGACTCCGAGTCCCGAAGCACCTCCTGCATCTCCTCCCCACTCTCTGTTGATGGGGCCCCCGAGGGCCGCAGCTCTCCCTCTGAGACCCCCAGCGAGAGGCAGAAGGAGCTGGCCGTGAAGGTACTGTCCTGCAGCATCCCCAGCTCATGGGGATGAAGCCGGGAAGGGGCTCCCACGGGGTGGCAGCGGGTTGCAGCAGGAGAAAGCCCAAGAGGAGCAGGAGGAGGAGGGTGGAGGAAGGTGCCTTCTGTCCCACTGTCCTCCTCCTCTCTCCGCAGTGCTTGCGCCTGCTTACGCACACCTTCAACAGGGAGTACAGCCACAGTCACGTCTGCATTAGTGCCAGCGAGAGCAAGGTACCGCCACTGCCCTGGGCTCCGCCGGGCTGGTGAGGGCTGGGAGAGACGCATGGCCGGGAGGGACTGGCTGGGCAGGGGCCAGATGGGCATCATGGTGCGAGTGGTCCCTGCTTTGGGGTCCCTGCTCCCTCCACTCGCCTGGTGTTCCTGGAGCTGGTGGCTCTCAGGACTGTGCCAGGAGAGCACCCTGCTGGCCGGAGGTCTTGCCTCTCCCCATATGAGCAGGCGCCTGGTCCTTTGCCTGTGCCTGGCTTCAGGCAGAAACTTGAGTCCACACCTCCGCTCCTCCACAGCTGTCCGAAATGTCCGTGACACTGATGAGAGACCCCTCCATGCCAGCTCTTGGGGTCACCACTCTCACCCCCTCCTCAACCTGCCCATCGCTGGTGGAAGGACGCTACAACGCCATGGAGGTCAGGTAAGACGGTAGCTGGGAGGTTTGGGTGACACCCCGGCATACCCTGAGCAGGGCAGCTGTACCACTGGGACATGGTCAATGGGTGTTCCCCAGCCGTCACTCTTCCTACACCCCGGCTTCTCCTCCCTCCTCAGACCCCCCCAGGTCTCCTCCAGGGCGGATAGCCCTGACCTGGAGCCTGCGGTAGAAGGAGAGCAGAAGAAGTCCCCAGCCCGCCGGCCTGAGGAGGAGAAGGAGCCCCAGCGTTTGCTGGTGCCCGACATCCAGGAGATCCGGGTCAGGTAGGAGTGTCTGGAGCAGCCAGCAAAGGGAGTGCCTTGGGGCTAGGGGGGACTGTGCCCTACCATTGCCACCTCCTCGTGGTCCATGTCCCACCCTGACCTTGGTCCCTTCTGCAGCCCCATTGTCTCCAAAAAGGGCTACTTGCACTTCCTGGAGCCCCACACCAATGGGTGGGTGAAGCGCTTTGTGGTGGTCCGGCGCCCATACGTCTACATCTACAACTCGGACAAGGACGCGGTCGAGAGGGCCATACTCAACCTTTCCAAGGCCCAGGTGGAGTACAGTGAGGACCAGCAGGCCATGCTCAAGGTAGGGCGCTGGGAGCTAGCCCTGCTCTGTGCACCCCATCGGGTGAGGGACTCAGCCCTGGCTCTCCCCCAGCAGACCCCGAACACGTTTGCGGTGTGCACGGAGCACCGGGGCATCCTGCTGCAGGCGAGCAGTGACAAGGACATGCACGACTGGCTCTACGCCTTCAATCCCCTCCTGGCTGGGTCCATAAGGTACCGGGGACAGCTGGGGGAAGGGTGGGCACAAGGAAGCCGTCAGTGGGGGTCTGTGGGCAGCCAAGTGTGCTCCCAGCCCTGCTCCCAGTGCTCTCCCTGCTGCAGCCCTCCCAGCCAGGCATTGGGAGCACCTCCTGTGCAGAGCTGTGCCTGGATGGGCTCTCAGCCGGCAAAACTTGGACCATATTAATCTTGATTTCAGCTCCTCCCCACTTAAATGCTTCAATCTAGGGCTAGATCCCAGCTGGTACAGAGGCATTGTGCTGAGTTCAAAGCAACATCCATGCCTGGCGGCATGCCTGGCCCTTCACTGTTCTTGAGAGCATCTCACATAGCTCTTGAGAGCATCTCATTAAGTTCTTGAGAGCATCTCATTAAGTTCTGAGACCATCTTACGAAGTTCTTGAGACCATCTCAAGTGGTAGAACTACGGGAATAGGAGTAAATGCACAGAAATTTGTGTGCTCTGGCTAAAGAGACATTAATCCCATGTCCCTCCAGCTCTGGCTGGATTCAAGCACCAGCCTGGAGCCAGGACACCAAACCTGGGGGACCACACCTCTCCTTGTCCACATCTCTGACACCTTTTGTCCCTTGTTTTCCAAATTAGATCCAAGCTGTCCAGAAGGAGAACAGCCCAGATGAGAATCTAACCTGAAAAACACCCTCCACCTCATCCGTCTGCCAACAGGATCAAGATAGCTGATTCTGTCTCAAGACTCCCCATGTTAACGTCTGATCTGTCACACCATCTGCTGCCCCAGCTGTCTGCTCCATGGAAGGATCTGTCTCGATTCACACCTTCACGGGGGAAACTCACTTACGTTCGTAGCTGCAAAAGCCTGGACCCGCCTGGGCAGGATTTCTTGTGCGCATGCCATCTTCTGCCCGTCCCCCCATGGGTGACCTTCATGTCACACCATCTCTAACGCTCCAGAAAGGTCCCTGTCAGAGGGGAGGGAGCGAAGAGGGCAGTTTTGGCTAAAAGCTGGTCTTTGATCTACAGAGGTGGGAGTGTGGTAAAGCTTGGAGGTGGGAGAGCAGGAGGAATTGCCTCCACACAAAGGGAAAGTGGTAGTTTAGGTATGGGGATTTCCTAGTTTATTGATGTTTCTGCAAGAGACAGCAGGATAAGATCAGGTGTCAGTAGTTTAAGACGATATTTATAAAGTATTTATTTCTATTTATGTCACAAAAATCCCATAAGTTGGGTCCTGGCCCCCAGACAATGCCTCCCCCAGGCAGGGGAGAGCCTTGGCAGTGGGCTGGGGTCCCGGAAATGCTTCCCCTGGGACATCCCTGGCATGTGCCCAGCGGCGGCGGAGTTCTAGCCCTTGCTCCCTATCCTTCCCCAACCCTCTGCTTTGCCCCCACTGCAGCTTCAATTACTCCCCTGAGTGGTGGCTGGATAGCCCACCATATCTTCCCAAAGGAGGCAATTCCTACCTGCCCTGTCTACCTCTGGAAGGGGGGACCCCGCCGTCTTGCTTGGCTGGGGCACCCACGTCCACACGGATGGGTCACCTTGCTTCGGAGCTTGGTCCTACTGGAGGGAAAAGGAGTGCATTGGGGATGGCTCTGCCTGTCACCTCTTGCGGGCCTGTCCTTCCCAACCAAAAAGCACATGGGCCACCTCCACTATCCTGGCCTGGGAGCTCCGGGGGGCTTGTCCAAAGGGATTCCCGCACTCTTAGGGCAGGACGCCGAGGGTCCCATCCCTGTGGAGAGTGTGGAGGTTCAGGTGGCCACTTTCAAAGCTGGATGGGAAAGGTCCCCAGCAGCCGGGGCTAGGAACAACCATTCCAATCCACAGGAACCTCACTGCCCTTTCCCAAAAGGGCTGTCACATCCCTTCTCCTCCCAGCAGGACGACAGGCTCGAAGCAGGTCAGAGGGGCAGGGGAGAGGCTGGCGTGGGGGTGTCGGGGTGTGGGTGTGGCTTCTTTTTACTGTTGTAGGTGGTGTTTTCTCACTCCTCTTCCCCCACTGCAGAAGCGAGTGCCCACCTCCTTCCCACCCTGCCTCTGTCGGCACATTAATCCAGGGGGCTTCCCATGGCGGAGGTGGCTTCACCAAAAAGATCTTCTCCTCCAGTCATCACCGCTTCCCACCTCCCCTAGCAGCAGCTCTCCCTCTCCTCCTTCTCCCGTCTCTCACCCATGGGGGGATGCTTTCGTTCGGGGCTTCCTGAGCGGCCAGCGGCATCCAGCACAGCTCTGGGCGGGAAGGCGAGCATCTTCCTCCGTACATCTCCCGGGCACCCCTCCAGCTTTGCTGTCATGCCTTCGTGGCTGACCTTCCCTTGCACAGCACGGCTGCCCCTTGGCTCTGCCGCACCTCCCCATGCTGTCTGTGTGTGTGTGTGGGTGTGGGGGTGTGTGTGTGTGGGGGGGTGGTGTCAGATGTGGTGCCGTCTTCTCGTTATGCTCGTGTCGTGGGGGACACGGACAGGTAGGGACATGGCAGGCAGGCAGAGGCTTGCAGAGACCCCTTTGCTGCACATCAGGCGCCGTTCAGCTTGGGTTTCAGGTCACGGAAAGGGTTTTGGGATCCTTCCTGAGCCTCTGCCAGTTCTGTCCAGCCTCGCTACAGCTCCTTGGGTGTCTCACCCTATTGCTCCGGCCTGAAGCCGTGGTGGGGCTGCCCCTCCCAGCCCCACTCCCCGGGCAGGCGGCAGCTTGCCTGCCCAGGACAAGCTCCCCATCAAACTGTTTTTTTTTCCCTCCTGTGATCCATTTTAGAGACCTGGAGGCTGACTTGTGCCCTTTATGGAGGGAGAGGTGCCCGCCCGGGGGCGCAGAGGGGCAGACCTGTGGCCAGGATGAAGCAGGGGCCAGGGCTGCGACATCCCGTCTCCTGTGCCCTGGGCAAGGACTAGTTGGGACCATC